TATATATATAAAATAAGTCGACACGTGCACACAAATCCATTAAACCTTTTCTTATTCGTTTCTCTCAATTTTGTCTTCGTTCTTTGATCAACCCCAAGAAACACTCCACTAACTCCTCTCACCCCATTCTATCACTCCCTCCCACTTGAGCATTGATTGAATCTTTCTAACTATCTTACTAAAAAATTTTGTACTAAAACTCCGTTTTAGAAAGCAATAAAAAAGCCGTCCCAAACGAAGCCTTAATCTCTCCATTTTTGGGCAAATTATTGTGCCCGGTGTCCGGATACCAATCCAGACGTGCCACGTCATCAAAATACACCAGGCCCTAGTGTATTTGGGTGACGTGGAGCATTTGGATTGGTTGTCCGGACGTCAGGTGACTGGACGCAATAATTCGCCCCATTTTTTGTCCTACCTCCTGCCCATTTCACTTTTTTGTGTTTATGTGTGACAAAGCCCTGTTGCATAACCATTTTATCGTAAATGAAAATCACTGTACACAAATTCACTTAATCATATAAATAATTGTTATTTATCATTTTATAAAAATATCTTTTAAAAAAATTATTTTTGTTGGCTTGCTTTTTAATGTTAATCACATATTAATGATTATTAATTATTAATTTTCATGATGAATTTTGTGTCATTACACTCATATAATGCAACCAACCTCTTTATTCTTAACTACTTATATTTAATTCATTACAAATTTTTTAATTAGGAATTAAAAAGGCTTGAGGCATTTTTCATTAATTCGTCATGGATCAATCTTTATAAAAGATAGGGAGCACATATATCCCAAAATAAAATTAAATCACATAATCGCTTGCTAGACCTTACATTATAAGTTAGTGGGGGCACATCTTACATATCCCCCACCAGGCGCGTCCCCCTAAAAAAAAATTTTAAAAAAATATTATATCATTCATTAGGTAATTTGTCCCCCTCCATCTATTTTTTAGACATTTGCCACCCCTAAAAGTTTTAAAATACTATAGTCTTTAGGCAATTGTCCTGAGCATAATTAAACACATTATGTAGAGGTCGAACCCCGCCAGGGGGTGCTACTCCCTTGGACCCTCAATAGTTACTTATAAGTTTACTCCCCCTAAAAATTAAGGTTGGTTCTGCCCCTGTCCCCCACATTAGATCCACCCCACACGCTAATGCAAGTTATTCACAATCATCACATTTACCACCCCTAAAAGTTTTAAATTACTATCGTCTTTAGGCAATTGCCCTGAGCATAATTAAACGCATTGTGTAGAGGTCGAATCCCGCCAGGGGCGCTATCCCCTTGGACCCCCAATAGTTACTTATAAGTTTACTCCCCCTAAAAATTAAGGTTGGTTCCGCCCCTGTCCCCCACATTAGATCCACCCCACACGCTAATGCAAGTTATTCACAATCATCACATTTAATTTTGAACTAGTTTTAAATATGTTTCTTATTTTAATATATAATATACTTTCTCAATATCCTTTAAGTAATTTAGGCATATAGTAGTAGACCGAATCTCTATATAGATTTATATTCAAGTATATTGAGATAGTTGAATGTTGTAGGTGAATAATGCTCAATTTAATCCACAAATGATCTTCATATATATTGCATGCAAGGAAATCCATAGGGATGAAGAGAGAGTTTTACAATATACATTTGCATGAAGATACATCTTATAGAGATAAATAAATGAGAAGAACGTAGGAGACCCCAAAGTGTTTACATGAAAAACGTGAGAAGGGAAATAACCATGGGGCTTGACTCATTTTAAACATTCAATGCTCTACTTGAAGTTAAATAAGTATGCTGTTCTCCACAACTGGAGAAGACAGACATAATTACAAAGTTAAGAGCACTTGTTTGATCTCCTATAATTATAGAAAAGATTATGGAAGAAATAGTAGAGCAAAGATTATGATAGTTGGATGAAGTTGTTTTAATAATGGTGGTCAGATAACGATGATTAGATATTGTAATCAGGCGATAGAAGTTGGGTAAAAAGAGTCAGATGATGAAAATTAAATGATGATAAAAGGACTATATATGATGGTCAGACAATGATGGTTAAATAATAACAATAAGCCAATGGTGGTATGATTGTGGTAATTAGGTGATGAGAATCTTGTGATAATAGTCAAATGATGATGGTAGCTAGTGATGATTGCCAACAATCAACATTAAGTATACTTATAGTTTTCTTCAAGCTCTCTCTCTCTAAACTTAATTCTAGTCCTCTTTCATGTGGAGAATGTGAACTATTTATAATATTTTTGGGAAAGATATTTGATAAATTCAACCAAAATTTTAACACTCCATCAAAAGGCCATATTAATCCATTAATTATAGACAATTCATTTTGCATTTATGTTAAAAAAAAAACCTCAAAAACCAAAGGGCTTGTTGGATTTATCTCATTGAGCCGCTCAAATTGGCTATGAACATGCAAGATTTGGAGATAGATTGTCCTTTAATTAATGTTTCAAAGTTTTTGAATGTATTCTAAGTGCTTGATTTGGGTACCTTTGGACTCAAAATATGCATCTATCTTTAAACCATCACTATCAAATTGTTTCCATCTCATCATCATCGCCCAAATATCACCATCAAATTATTGCAACTTGACCTCCATCATTGAGCCACCGCCATCAAACTATTGCTCATTGGATCATCGTCACCCAACTATTGATATTGTATCGCAATCGACCAACCTTTATCATTATACATCCATCATCAAGCCCATGGTTATCAAACCACCATAATTAAATCAATTGTCACCTAACTCCATTGTGAGATCACCACCGCCCTACGACCTTTATTATTAGGAAATTATAAGATTACCGTCACTTAACTCTATCATTGGACCATTGTTACTCCACTTCTTGCATTAGACTACACCGCTAGATAACCATCGTCAAGCCATTATAAGCTGACCATCATTTGGTCATCGCCACCCAACTTTCACTGCTGAACTACCACTATTAAATAAACACTGTTGGACCATATCACTACCACTACACAATTATTGTTATCAAGCAATCATAATTCGACCCTAGCCATCTAAACACCTCCCATCTCTTAATAAACTTAATGATATTCTCCATTGCTTTCGCATGAGGCCAAATTAGCAACCCATGTTCTTATAATATCACCTTCTCTAATTAGAGTGACATTAAATCACTACATGAAATTCAACTTTTTGTAGAGGAATAAGCCACCACAAAATAAGGGAAAACTGTCGCAATCATGGTTTGCAAAGGAATTGATTCTGCCAGTAAAACCATCGTCGTAAAAGTATTTGTGATAGGACAGATCCATCACAAATATTTTGTAATTAACTTGCGGTGGATATACGATGAAAATTCCACCACAAATTGCGACGGAATATCCATCATACATTGTGACGGATAATCTGTCGTAAGTCACCACTATTTGTGAAGAATATTTTTGTCGTAAACAACAATACTAGATTGTCGTATAAACATTTACGACAACAATTCTATCACAAATTCATCAAAAACATGTAGCATAAAAAAAATAGTTATTATTATTTGTTATTGTGCTTTCTAACATTATAAATCCAAACATTTTAAAAAAAATAATCAAATACAGTAATAAAAAGCAATAATAATCTACAATAAGCAACTGCATTCCATAAAATTCTTCAATACACTGTTAAAGTTTTAATAGTTCTTATACATCAAAAGAAATAAAATGCATCAAAAATATTTTTACTGACACTCTAGGCAGAATCTGTACCCTTGCTCTCATCCTCGATTGATGGAGGTGCAAGTAAATTTTCGACAATCTACTCTCTCAATTTCTTAAGCTCAACTAGTTTCTGAATGTTCATGTCCACATGTATTTTTCAAACATTTTCTAACTCCACTGTTAAATTAGCCACATGTTGGATATATAAACTCTCCTGGCTGCCTACGGAGTAGTTAGTTGTAGAAAAGGATTGTCCCTCTTATGCATACGCTTGTGAGCCTAATCCATAAACTCATCTGTTATGCATTCCACTTATCATTTGCAACCAAGTGCGGTGATCATAAACATATGCAGATCCCCTAGAGGAACCCTCACCTGTATAAACCTGGCTCTCTCGAAGCCATGTCTACTCATCCTATAAAGCATAACATAAGATTAATTATCATATAATCATCACTTAAAATATTTCTATTAGTATAATATGCTTATATACTTATATATGCCCTCCTAACTCACTCATCCACCCATTATTGATCCTCCTAGTGTTTATGAGTATGATTGTGTAACTCAACTACAGTGAATTCTTTACCAAGCATCTCTTTCTACAATGTACTTAAATTAGCATGCACAAATAAAAAGTTATTAAAATGTTTTAACATTCTTATCAATTATCATCTATGCTCAGTATGTGGAACTAAGCCCCTAATATATATGGAGCAAGCTACTCAGGCCCCCAACTTCAAATGCTCGGTTTGGTCTACTCTGCTCCCTCTTCACTATAAAATTTGGGCTACCCCAAGCAATGTTGAGCTTTTTCCATACACCCTCTCCGATCCTAAACGTCCACTCGCTTGTCCTCCTAATGAGAGTGAATATGTCTCATAAGCGATTTGCTTTGTGTTTCTCAAAATTTATTCTAACTCGAGTACCATGCTCAGGCAACCAATAAAAATCTTATTGTATAAAATAATTTAAAAAAATATTATTTATCAATGTAATAAAATATGAAGAGGAGTTAATAA